CTACCCAGAGTTCCTTTCGGTCCAGTCGCGTAGGCTTGAGTTGGTCGACGACAACATTTTTTGAATTGACTGTATGTTATATATGCCAACGTTCGAATGACCCGCTCGTTGTAATACAACACTACAGGACAAGAGCTTGGGCCGCCTGTGTTCAAAACCGGCTCTTTTTTACTACTAGTGGTCTATAAAACAACTTTTGGACTGATTTTAAGTCAGTTTTCTACAGTTTTCACTCTACATTGCCGGTGATTTATCTATTCTGTATGTCTCAACGGAATTGTGTTTTATTTGGATGAAGCCACCTTGAACTTTTTCTTGTATTAACTTGCAGCTTGAAGAGTTTCATGGCTGACAGGAAATAAAACACGAATGGACGGGAATTGTTTCTTGTCACTGAAAGCTAACCAAAAGAGCCGATATTGAATCTGTCTTAATCTTATTTACTAAACACCGCGGTATAGTATTTGCAGTTTTGAAATGAACGAGCAATATACGGTGTCTATAATAGATTGAAAAGTCAACTTATATAAAGAGTGCTCTCTTGCACATCCAATTTTTCCAATACTTTATCTTTCCTCCTTTCATTTTTATCGATTTTACTACCAAGATCAGCAAGGAAAATACTACCATTCAAGGTAAGGGTAGCTTTGTCTTCTTCCTTCCTTCCTGCTTCGTTTTTTAGCTTGCTTTCCTACTTAGCTTTCCTTCTTTCTTTCCTTTGTTAAAATAATCGATTTTGAAGTCAAATATACTGAATTCATAATCGGTTAATTGAGTTTTACCACTGCCGTCTTCAATAAACTAAGACAAGTAGAATCTTGTGACAAGAGATCAAAAGGCATAACTTTACTAACTAGGCTCAAATTTATATTTATCCAAATGGAATAAAGCGATTTCTCAGTTTCATTTTAAAAAAGTCTAAAAGAGAGGTTTTCCGCCACATAAACTAATAGACCTCATCGGCTCTGACGTATTGTTTTCCCATTTCAGACCACGTGTCATTCCCTAGAGTAACATTTCTTTGTTTAAGGTTTGCGCTCAGCCCTCCCCCCCGTCTAATTTTTGACATGTCCCTTAGTGCGGGAGGTCGTGGTTCAAGCCTCAGCCGGACCAACACTCAGGGTCTTAAAATAACTGAGGAGAAGGTGCTGCCTTTGTAACAATATGTGCAAATGGTTAGACGTTCAAGTCTTCTCGGATAAGGACTAGTAAAACCATAGTCCCTGTCTCCCAACCCTTCCTAACCTGTAATAAAATGGGGGACATTAAAGAACCTGTTGAGTTATTCGTGTAAGAGTAGGGGATTGTTGCAAAATACCAACATACTAACAAATCACTCATGATTGTAGCTGAACGGCTGCTACTGGCGCCTTAATATGCAGCCCGAATATATGAAGTGCTCCACTGATCTTGTGAAGCGCCATTGAGCTCCCGGAAATGGCGCTATATAAATTCGAATTATTATTATTTATATTATTATTATTGGTGAGAGGCGGCGCATTAGAGTCTTATTACGCCTGAATGTCCTTCCACTAAGTGTCATTATACATATCTCTAGTACCTTCATGGGCTTGCACATCCAATTTTTCCAATACTTTATCTTTCCTCCTTTCTTCTTTTCTCCCTAAGTTCTTTTTTATTTTCTTGTTTTACGTTTTACAGACAATACTACAGTTGAGTAAGATGAAAGTTAGCTGTGTCGTCGTCATGCTGCTCTTGTCACTCTTCGTGTCACAATCATATTCTGTTAATCCTTATCATTGTCCTCCTCGTGCGGTATGCAAAAAGAAATACACTAGATCAATAAGGGTAAGTAGACTCATCGTTCTATTTAACTCATTACTGAGCGTATCATACAATCAGTAATCTCTAATTTCATTGTTTTCTTTCGTGCTATGTGGACGATAATCGGCATTCGACTTTATTTCCTGGCTTAAGGACGTTCGTGGACCAATGTAGTTCATCATGTTTTTGAGCTTCTCATCAGTAAAAATATCCCCGAGCTAACTTGCTTAAAAAAAATAAAGAATAAAGAATGGGGGTCATCAAAATAGTTTTTTAAAACTAATTGCTGAACAAATATGGTTTTCAGCGAGGAATAGACGTGCGCTTTAGTGAAACCTAAGGTATCGAAGAAACAATTTGAAATTAAAAATAAATCGAAAACATCAAAGAAATGCAAGAAATAATTTTCTTTAACAGTTTTGGATTAAAATCATGTGTGTAGGCTACAAGGATTTATGAAACGTTCAGTCCTTGCGCATGTAGTCGAAACGAGTAGAAATGATTTGAATTTAAAATTGAATTTTTTTTGCGTAAAATTGGTATCAACCGTTCCCTCTGAATTATGTAAATATTAAAACAATTTTCAGATATTTTTTGTATACTTTGGTGGTATTAGGGTTCATAATAAGCCACTAAAACGTTCCAATGACGCCATCACTATGAACCGAGAGCGCCAAACCCATACGCAGAAAGGCTGCGCGCGGACGACAATGTCTGCGAATTCACCTTTTCGGCGCTAGGTTGGATCACCAACGGTCACCAAAAAGTTCGGACATCGTTCTCGGATTCCCATACAAACTCACTGAGTTTAAAGAGAAAATTTAGATAGATTTCTTTAGTTAGCTCTCTTAACAGCAGTAAGAATAGCTTCAATCAAGCTAGAAAAATGATTATTTACTAAACATTAACCAAGTAAATAGTTCATTTAAAGTCAGTACATTTGTACGGAAATTCGAGAACAATCTCCAAACTTTTTAGTGACCGTAACACAATCTAAAGCAATTTATACTTCGTGATCATGACGGCTTGCGCGGACAAGGTGAATATTTTAAAGCTCCTGACCTGAATTTCCTGCGTATTCCCTTGTTGTATTTAACACACGAACGTAGTCCCAACTAGTAACGGTTTTTTATTGCCAACTTTCTTGATAGGCCCGTTTAGCAATCAAGTCTGATGGACCTTTTTTTGAGAAAGGAGGGGAGACCCAAGATCTCGCAGTGGATGATGGACCACAAGCTTGGAGGAGAGAATCGAAAATATGATATTGGACTTGTTGAGGGAAACGATTTCTATTGATAATGAATAATTTAAGAATGAAATTGTATACGGAAAACTTTAAGAACGAAGTAAAGTGCAAAATCTAATATTAGACTTTCTTTTTTAACGTATGATTAATTTCGGGTACCCTGCCGGCGTTGTCACATTTTAATACAAGAATTATATACAAAACTTTGACCTTTACGAGAGACCAAAATAAATAAAAATATGTCGCGTTCTGATTGGTGGAGAGCGCGTGCTTTACGAGAGCACACAGCACGCGAGCGCACTTTCAGTTGCGCCATTCCTGTACAAAATAAAGGCGGTTTGAGTTTGAGTATTCAGACAATAGGTTAGCGGCAAATTTTGAATTTAAATATTCTTCCGTTGTTCCGGTTGGTAAAACTAAATGATGAAGAAGAGCTTGTAATATATTTTTTCTTCGCAAATTATTGATTTGTGTCAACGAAGATATAGAAAAATAGTAAYGTACGACTTCAAATACGACAGGAAAGCAAATGAGAGACCGTATAAAACATGATTCAGTTTGTTTCTTCCAGACAAATTATCAGGCTGACACTGTTAGATCTTATCACTATGTTGCTATGCAACAGCACGTTTATATTCGACACAACAAAGGTACCGGCAGTCTTCTAAGCCGTGTAAACCCATGGATATTTGTCCGATTTGTAGCAATTCTATTGTTCAGATTCCTACTTTTGATTGGCTAATTTGTGGAAAATTTGTCGAGGTGGCTTTGGTTGGAGTAGTTGCACTATAATTACTAATCTTAGGTCATTTGTCAGTTAACTGCTAGCTTTTAGGCCAATTGTCAGCATACATGCTTACCATTAAAGATGTTTGCAGAATATATAGGCTTTGCACCATCACGTGACGGAAGCCATGTTAGATGTCAGAAACAATACAATCGTTTTACGTAATTCAAATTCAATTTCTGAGAGCAAAGGGATTTTATTGTTCTGTCATCTAACCAAAGACAGACCAAGATGTATTATGGGCGCCGGCACGTGATGGTGTACAGCCATTATTTTGTTGATGTGTATCTGTGTGTCTGTGTACTGGCTTAGTTTTCTCAACCAAGTCAGTCCTCAGTTTATTTTACTCTCACTCGTTGTAAAAACCAAGTTTCTTTGATTTATATGTTTTTTCTTCCCTTTTATTACTATTTTTACATAATTATTAGACAATTAAGATTCCCGTTTCTCATTCCCGCAAACGGCAGACACGACAACGTTTTCATCGTTTTCCTGTATTATACTTTGCCTCTTGTAAACCTTCTCACCAAACAAAAATATTCTTATGTTTAATTTATCTATCACATGGAGATTATTGCGATCTCTTTTCACTAATTTTAATGAATTTTTTAATGGTCAACTGACATTTTACGTTTACCGTGAATAATTTATCGTTAGGTTGTAATGTGGAATGTATATAGTTAACAGATCCCTGAAACACCCGATATGAAATAGCTGGACATATTGCTCCAAATATCCTAGCTCCTAACATTTTAATTGTCCGATAATGCCGGCCACGTAGAAATGCATTCATGAAAAATGCGCCAAAAATTTAACTACAATATTAAAATTAAACCAAATGTAAGCCCTATCGTTAGTTATGGGTTGCCTGTGGAACCAGATATTATGGGATGTCGAGACCACATGCTTTCAGTCCATGATGAGTCTCGACGAGTGCAGCAGAGAAGAAAAATTGGAAATGAAAAATTAACTTTGTCAGTTGGAATTGTCTCTTTGTCGTTCTTCGTTTGGAAACTCGGACTCAAAACAGTGGGGCCTCGAGGGGCCTTCCTTTGCTCAAAGTAACTCGGGATTAGTTACTATAAGCAACTAGTTATACGCACGCCAATGTAATTACGATTTACTCGATCAAAATCCGGAAGTGATAAAATCCTATAGTTTAGATATTTTGTTCGTATTTTGTTGGCCATATGCCATAGCTTAACAAATGAGAGTTTGGTTTTTCTGGGCCGGGTATCGACCACGTAATCCCTCAGAATTTATTAATGCTGTTTAGTGTCTATTGAAAGTCCGTAGTTTAGGGGGTCATTGTTTTGTTGTGAGGATAGGGGCGCCCCAAAAATATTTTTTCGAAATGCAAATTCTCAATTAAAGCTAACCCATAAATTATAAGTCCTCCCAAAGTGTGAGAAGCATTATTCGTATTGTGATGATTATTGCAAAATGCGTTTTAATATCGAAAAACCCTTAATATTCCATATCTATAATCCTAAAGTCCTAACAGAGCCTCATTAACGATTTATAGCTTTAACTTTGAACTGATTTCAACAAAGAAAATATCTAAGCTTAGCAATGCGTTACGATCAACTAGTTCAATCTAATGTACAAGGATTATTTCAATATTAAAAGTGACTTCATGTTACAAATCCGTTACAAATGTCTGAAATATCAGGTTAACAATGTTATGAATATCAATAATTTATTATATAAAATCAACGTCGCATAATTAGGAGAAACACTACTGGCTACAGAGGAATTCAGTTGCATGTTGTTGTCTGGTACCTGTCCAATTCAATGCTAGTCATAACACGACTTACTTGTGCCTAACAGGTGACTACAATATCAGCTGTTTAATTTTGTTATGGTTAACTGAATCTCAATCCATAGTTCAATAATTTGAAACGAATTGTTTATTATTTTTTCTTCATTATTATTAATTATAAACTACTCCCCTAAATCTTTTTCATATTTTCTATATTATTTCCTCACGTCACTATACAACGATCAACGATCCTTCCTTCCTTCCTTCCTTCCTTCCTTCCTTCCTTCCTTCTTTCTCATTTCAGTTGATATCGAACCAATGAAGATTCCTTTTTCTCATCCTGTAAAAAATTCCTGTAAATATATTTTTTAATCAAGTACATCCAAGTACAACGATTTTTTTAAATCGCTGTGTCAAAAAAAGTTACAGTGTGAAAAAAAAAGTTAAGGTGTAAAACCTGTAGCATAAAACGTTGAACACTAGTCTTGAACATCATTTATATCACTACACTGCCACGATAAGCAAGTAGCGAACAAGTGAACAACTACAATTCCAGGTTAGAGTGTTTTTTCTTCTTCTTTGCGATCTTTCTTTTTTTTTTTTTTCCTTTTTTTTTTTTTTTTTTTTTTTTCCCCCCCGTTCCTTTTTTTTTTTTCTCGTTATCCATAGTTATTTTCTCTGTTCACGTTTCTTTCCTTTAAGAATATCGATCGTGGTTCAACCCCTTTTTTAATATCATTCCTTCCTTC